AAAATTTCAGCCCTGCTTTTTGCAGGGATTAGCTGTGTGACATATGGTGTCAGGTGGAGGGCAGGTGAGTACAGCCTTAGGGAAATGGCCTTGCAGGCCAAAGGAGGAGGCCTGTTAAGCCTGCATGGTGGAGGCGCCCCACCCCTGCACCTAAGACAAAGCCTGTGACCTCCAATGAGAACCCTCCCTCTTTGGAGAATCTATGGTGCCATGTCACAATTCTGTAATTGCATGAGGAAATGGCACTGGGAATGAGGAAAGTGAGCTTAGTAGATGCATGGGGCGGCAAGGGGAAAGTTAATATTGAGGGAACAGCAGTTGGGTTTGTGAGCAGCATCAGCAATGGCACAGGCCCATATTCTTCCATTGCATATAACACCTATGCCTGCAGAACACTCCCAAGGTTCCAAAAGTTGTTTTTTCTTTTAAGGATGAATTATAGTTTTGCCCTGGATAAAGATTGGGGGGGGGGCATCTGTGTAATTTTCTGTATGTGGTTCATGCTTTGGAGCTGTGGGTTTTATAGTCCTCATGTGGGCAGGAGCGTTGGTCTTCCTTCTTGGGGTGGCATTCTTGGGAACAGTAGGGATCATAAAGCAGTATCCAGGCTCCTTAAGCCTGCTGTGCTCTCCCTAGGGAGAAGCGTGGGTTGTTCCAGCAGCTGCTGGGATCCTAAGAGCCACAGTAGGTAAGTACATCTCCCACCCCTTGCAAAGCGGCAGCCTGGGGTTTTTGGGGTGGGGGGTGGAGGACTTATTTCATTGGAACAGTAAATGTCCAGACCATGTCAGAAGCTGACTTTTTAAACATCACCACCTCCCCAAATTTCAAAGCACAGCACCAGGGTGCATTGGTGTGGGGGCGGGGCGGGGTGTAGCGCTTATAGAAATGCATGCTCAGTGTTCTGCAGGGTGAGTGGGAACCAAGTTTGTGTGGTGCTTTGGATGCTGGCCAAAAGGGGTTGGGAGGCTGCATTCCACCAAGAGCTTGGCAGTGTGCAGATCAGAGTGAGATCGCTCCATGTGGCACCCTGCCAAATGAGGTTAGCTAAGGAGGGAAAGAATTTCACAATGAGTCTTGGAGTGCGAGAGTTCATGGCCAGAGCAGAACAGGTTCATTAACTGGACTGTGCTGGTGTTGTGACCCATGGTCCAGGAACTTTGCACTGCACAGCAGGGAGATTCAGATGAGGTTCAGCTATTTCCTCAGAGAGATGACCACCATAATTGTACTCAAACCCTGGAGAACACACCATGCTCTGGCTCAGAAGATGTGTCAATCTTAGTAAAGAAGGCAAAAGCAATGAATCAAGGCCAGGGCCAGCCAACTCTTCCATCCAGCCTACCCAAGGCTTTGGTTGGCTACAATAGCCTGAGCAGGGCTCCTTGGAGCTGTCCAAGGTCCTGGGCACTTTCTCTGGGAGCTGTCCAAGTTGCATGCTCTCTCTGACTCAACATTGCCTGCCTTCCCTAGGAACCTCTAGCACCCACTTGACCCTAGGTTGTAGAGAGCTCCTAAACACAATGCCCTCAGTAGGAGGCCCTCTTCAGTGCGCCCATCTCCTCCCTGCTAGCACCCCATGGCCTGTTTCCTGAGATGAATCTGCAGAATTGGGCAGAAGGAGAATGCAAAATAAGTGAAGGCTGCTGCTCTCTCCTCACCCATGTTCATGCTTGCTTGCTTAGAAGAGGGCATGTGAACAGGCAGTGATGGCACAGCAAGGAGGCTTGGGGGGTTCATGGTGGTCTCCTTGGACGACACTGTGGGCTTTGGCAAGTGCTCAGGGATGCCTATCTTGAATAGAACCCTCATCATCCTTTGTGAATGATGAGGGTTTTTTTATTGAAGTCTTCATAATACAATAAAATAGCTGCTACAAAAAATGCAAGTAGGATACAGAGTCCTCTCTTAAAAGTAATTCTTAGCCCTCCCCACCTACAGAAGATAGTAACTCCTCCCAGCTCTCACTTGGAGACCGACATTTCCATATCTCTTACCCAGGGTCCTTCATCAACCTTTTACCATCCCCATGAATATATACTCTGGACCTTAATAAAGCCCACAGACATGGACTTCAGAGAAAGAAAACAAACAAACAAACAAAAAAGAATGAAAGGGACAATGAGAAAAGAGAAGAGAAGAGAAGAGAAAGAAAATAAAAAGACAAAAGAAACATTAGAGAAAGCTACCAAAAAGTCCTTCCAATTTTCCATTTGCTAGTTATATTAAACAAAAAAGGATTATGTAAGACATTCAGTCCATGCTAACACCCATCTTCTCCACTTTCTATTAAGCAATATTTCTTTTAAGTCAAGGTGTTTTAGAATCATTCATTTCTTTTTTCCATTAGAAGTCCAAGACGGGTTCCCAAATTGTTGTTATTATTGGTAAATGTCAACCATATTTTCCCTTTAATATTAACTTTACCTCCATTAATTCCCACCACTGTAACTCCACACTGAATGATAGTAAATTCTTCCCTCCATGTCCATTTTAAAATCTCTCCACTGTGATCACATACTGGGATAATATTCCACAATTATTTTCTTATTATATATCCTTTAGTTCATGTCCAGTTCTGTATATTCACATTCCATTTCCTGTTGTATTTCCATGCCTATCTTGATGCCAACCCTGTGACCAGGGCCAACTGAACTACCCGAAGGCACCAACGCACAGATACAAAGCTTCCTTATATTTAACCAAACCCTTGGCCCATCTCCTCCAGTAATGTCCACTCTACATGAGAACCTGTAGAGCTGTGCCCAGAAAAGGCGGGGAACTTTCTATGGTTCTGCTGTTGAAGAGCCTTTATGCTGGGAGTGCTGGGTGAGAATTGAATCAGGGACCAGACACACATAAAGCAGTGTATTCTGCCAGGAAGCTATTGCCTGCCCCCCTGAGGGACAGCACACCTTCCAGGATTCTAAGACCACAGCAGTGACATCAACAGTCTGCTGTAATTCTGAGGAATGCTAGAGGGCAGCAGCAATCAGCAGAAATGCTAAAGAAAGCAAAGTGTGATTTATAGCAGAAATACTCCCCCTACCCACAAATCCTGACATAACTCAGTGTGTGTGTGTGTGTGTGTGTGTGTGTGTGTGTGTGTGTGTGTATATATATATATATATATATATATTCCACCTCTCAAGACATTCTATGTCTCTAGGGACATTCAAACCACTCTCCTCCCCACCCTGCTTCCTTGTGCACTTTCCATTTGATTCATAGCAAGATGTCAAGGCCCTCCCATTGGAGGCTGCTCCTTTAAGGCAAAGGGGGTACTGCCCCACCCATCTTAGCCTGCCCCACCTGCCTCCTTACTTACAGCTGGTCAGTGGGTGGCTCTTGCCTGTCATTTTGCTCTGGCTTCACTTGCAGTTGGTCTCACTGTCTTCCACCCTCCTAGCCCCAATAGTCGCCAGCCAATAGTCAGTCAGCCTCAGAGGTATTGGGCCAGGATGCTACCCAAGAGGTGTGGGCTGAGTTGACTCATGCAGAGGAAAGGGGCATGCAGAGGAAAGTCCTGGGGTGGCAGAGTGCACTTCAGACTCTAGCCCTGATATCCGTTTTACCCCGCTGCCAGAGGCATTATACTTGGAATCACAAGAGGGGAGAGTGCTGTTGCACTCAAGTCATGCTCATGGGCTTCTGGTTGGCCACTGTGAGAAAAGGATGCTGGACTAGATGGGGCATTGGCCTGATCCAGCAGTGATCACATTCAGGAATGTTCACCTAGGTTAAGAAAACCAGCCCAAACTACCTTTTCTTGCAAGTAAAATAACTAGTTAAAGGCTTTCTCTTTGATGGGCTGGCTTCCTAGCTACTGGGAGCTTCCACACTGAGGAGCAACTTTTACCTGCAGCCCAGCGTCGCATGTAATTAACACCTCCTGCAGCCCACCTAGAGAAGAAATGAAGGAGTGACTCCCCCTTAGCCCTTGAGATGCTGCTGTACTGCAACTCCCATTATCCCCAGCAAGAAGGACAATGGTCAAGGATGTACTCCAACATCACTTTAAGGGAACCACATTGGCTTGTTAGCATCCATTTGTCTCAAGAAACAATGGAGTGCACCTCCAAGGATGAAGTCAAACTGTTGTGTCAGCAGCACCAAAGTGACCTCCCCAGGGTGCAAGCCTGGACAGTGTGTGTGAAGATCCTGGGCTGCCCAGACGACAAGACCCCTCTCTCGCTCTCGCTGAGGTGGTCCAAAGAAAAACAGAGCAATACATTTGGCACCAGCTTGGCTGCAGGAGTTCCCAGAAGGAGGCATACAAGATGCCATCCAACCCTGTTAGGGACTCCACTCTGGATTTGTGTAGGGTTTACTCCTGAGCCCTTTCTTCTCCTGAAGATATCCCACAAGCCAGTGGAAATTTAGGATCAGAGTTCTCCTTCTCCTAGATGAGGTACCTTTCCAGGCTGATGAGCCCCATCTGCCCCTCACTTCCCTTTACAGTACATGCAGAAAGCACTTTCTTGATTGTTGGACCCATTAGTGGTCTCATCCACTCAATCTTCCAAAGCATGTCTTGGCATGCAAGGGAATTCCCTAACTCACAGAGGGTTTGAGACCCATTGGCTCCCCTCAACTGGTTTAGCCACCAGTCAAAGCCCTTCCTGGGGTGTAGCTGCTGTCACATGCTCATAGCTTCTGGGAGCCCTAGGTGAGAGCAGGGTGGGACAAAAGGTGGACAAACTAGCCCAGAAGGAGCACAATGTGTCCCCCACCAAAGGCACTACCGTACCTCCCCTAACACCTCACACACCCAAATTGGCTACTCCTGCTCTAATTTATTAGGCTCAATGTGCTTCAGTTAAGAACTTCGTCAGGGCTTCTGTGAAAGAGGAATAACCATCGCTGCCTGCACAGAGCAGGTCTTTACCTGCAGAAATCAAAGGAATCAGAAAAGGCTTTAAAAACCCACCTGCTGTCCAGTTAAGGGCTATGTCCTCCCACTCCATCTGGCTTCAACTTGAACAAAGGCAGTGACTTACCGTAAAGAATGGTGATGAGGGAAACTGGCATGACAAGGATGCCCACCAACATGTCCGCCACTGCCAAGGACATCAGGAAGTAGTTGGTGGCATTTTGGAGCTTCTTCTCCAAGGAGACTGCCATGATGACCAGAATGTTCCCTCCAATAGTCAGTAGGATAATGATCAGGATGAGGAGGGCAGGCCAGTTCTTGTCCCCGATGGACTTCCGAGGGGCTGCTGCCCCCTCAGAGACATTCAGAGGATCGGACGTTGGTGAAGTCTGATTCAGAGTCAAATTGTGGCTCAGTGGCCCGGACATCAGGCCACTGTGTGGGCTAAAGTCTAGTGGGACTGACAGTGTTGTAAGGCCAACAAGAACCCCAGCCCCATTAGTGGCACTCATCATTCATGCCAGTAATTGCCCCCTCTCCTTAAGAGCCCCTCAGTGTTAATCCCTTTTTCATTGGAAATAAGGTCCAAGGCAATAACTGGATCTCATGGCACCAGGGCCTCCAAGGTACTTGGCCTTCCATAGTGGATGAAAGCTTGTAGAAGCCACAGTGGAGTTCTTCCGGGATACCGTGAAGGCAGGACTCCGTGGCTTGAGAGGACCAATGGGCAAGAGGCAACGGGATCTTTGAAAGAACATCCAACTCATACTCAAGGTCAGCATTCTGCAAAGGAAAGACAGAGGCACCCTCATTTTTGCAGCAATCAGAGCAGAGCCAGGGCTGGATCACACATGAGCATTCCATCCTACCAAGCCGGATGCAGCCCGCAAGCCACATCTCCCAGCTGATACTCAACGATCCCACCTCCTCCTTTTTGCAGTCCTAGGAAGGCAGTGATCAAAAGGTCTATCATGCTTCTGATGGGTCTCCATCCTTGGCTGAGGAGCTATGTTCAGCACACAACTTCTGCAGGTTAGCCGAGGAGCCATGCGTAATTTGAAGAGGACCTCTCTGGTTTTACTCATGTCAAGAGCTCTATCTGGCCCAGGAAACCTTCCACCAGAACGAACCCACTGGTCTTCCAAGACCTTCTGCTGTTTCTACAGCAGCAGACTGAACATGCCTGCCACCCCTCTGGAATTCTACCTATGGCAGGCAGATCTCCCAAGCCAATTTTGAAAAGGAAGACCAAAAATAGGCCACTGCCCTAAATGGAACTGTTCAGGGCCATTAAACACATCTTGGCATGAAGCAGGAGAACTATAAATAAAAGCCAGGGGTCCAGACACATGCTGTCCTGGGGACTGAATTTTGGCTAATATACTTCAACTGTAAGTCTAATTTGAGAGAGCTGTGTTGGAAGTCATGCAAAATAAACAAACCAAGAAAAGAAAGAAAAACTAGACTTTGGGTGTATTGCATGTTATTTCCTTAAAAGACACAACAACCATAACCCCCTTAAACTAAAAGGTTTTCCCCCTCTAAAGATGGGTCAGAGGGACACATGATTGGATTATATGCTGTATAAATTATACATGGTATGGTGAAAGAGGGTATTGGGGGGGGGGAATCTCCTTCTGTCATATGGCTCATCTAGCCCAGCAGCATGTTTTCAGAGTGGCCAACCAGATGCCTCAGGAAAGGCCCCAGACAAGACCAGAGCACTAGAGCATTCTCCTTTCCTGTGGTTTCCAGCAACTGGTATTCAGAAGCATTACTGCCTCCAGCTGTGGACATTGTTGCCAGAGAGACTTCAGTTGCAGACACAGGTGACACAATTTTAGCCATGGTTTAATTCATCCTGCTTTTGGCCATTGCTGTGTTCAAAAGGAAGAGTTCAGCTGCAGTGCTGTGTTTAAAAAAGAGCTCAGCCCTTCCAGAGATGGGCAAGGAAGTTGCTTTCAAGGCACTTGCTGCAACCTGTGTTTGTGTAACTGGCCCAGGTAGCCCACAATGCTACACCAAAGATGCCCATTCAGTTCTCTCCCAATCCATCACCCGCTCTATGTCGTTTCACTTGTCCGCGGTCAGAAGCAAACACATAATTACAGCCAGAGGGGTGGCCTGGCTGCAGAAAGCCAGAGCCCTAATCAATGGCAGCATCTGAGCAGCAACTATAAACAATTAACCCCACCCCCCTATTTCCAGGTATGCAGTGGAAGGAAAGAATAATAATTCTTCCCAAACCTGGCACAGCCAGACACTTACTAAGGAGGAGGAAGCCAGGTAGAGAAGTCATTATTAGCTCCAGCTGAAAGTTGCAGGACAATGCCGTCAGAGCAGAAGGGGATCTATTGAAGTAGTAAAAACTCCAAGGGAACTGAAATACATTGATGAGGGCTTATTAAGGCTCAATTACAGAGCTGCTGTTTAGACCTGCCAGATATATTCTTGTGAGGGCTGTGAAAGTGAAACAGCCACGTTTACTGGAGAAAGAGAGTAAAAAGACGGGAGGGGGAGCAGATAAATGAAAGAGCTTTTTGAAGACAAAACAGGAATGGAAACATTTCCCATTAACGGGGGGCGGGGGGGGGGGGAGAAACCCACACAGCAGTGTTTCCCCTGTTCAAAATCCAGCACGCTAAATAGCTTTCAGAGCATTTTATGTGGGTGACAGCTCTCTCTCTTCACATACCAGGTACCAGGATGCTGAATGTTCGTGATCTCCCACACAGTTTGTTCCTGTCGCCTTCTGTATTGCTTGCAGTCCATGTGAAAGATGGAACGAGAATTAAGACTCAAGGTGGTGATTGCTGAGGGGTTTTTTTCTTTGTAAAAACAACAACAAAGCACTTCCCATCACCTATTCTGCACTAAGAAAATTCACAAAGAGTGCATTTTAAGAAATGTAGAAAATGCATATATTCCGCACGTGTTGACTAAGTTCACATGCATAGCACACAATCTACATTTGAATCTTATGAAATTCATCTTTCTGAACAGCAATTCTTCACCTTGTGGTATATTATTTATTATTTATTCATTCATTGTGTTTATATCCCAGCATTTTTTCCCTCCAAGGAGCTCAAGGTAGTGCATGTGGTTCTCCCGCTTCTCATTTAATCCCCACAACAACCCTGTGAGGTAGGTTAGGCAGAGAGGTCACCTAGTGAGCTTCATGACTGTGTGGGGATTCAAACCCTGGTTTCCCAGCTCCTAGTTGGACACTACACCACACTGAACAAAATTGTACATTGCTATCTGTCACACCAATCTCTGAGTAGTGTGAGATTCCAAGGGTCCATGCACCTATAAGGGGTTCATGTTTCCTTTGGAAATGAGGCACAGCAGAGATTGTGTCTTTATTATATATGATTTACCGGTACATGTATAAACAACCAGAGCCTATGATGGCGGAGTTCACAACATTCACACCCCAAGAGGGTCTTGCTTCTCACATAGACACAGCAGCCATGTATGCAAAAACACATTAGCCATGACTCGGCCTCCCTTCAGCTTGCTGTGTTTTACAGACAGCAACTATTTTCTCTAGCTCACATTATCCCACAACTGCTATCCCAAATGCAACTCTGCTTGCAACTCACAACTCATAACAATATTTTTTGTACTAGGGGCCACCACCCCTGCTTTGCCCTTCTCCCACACCTAACCAAACACCCTCCCTTTATCCCTTACTCCCCACCCACTCACAAGAGGAAGCCAGCAGTAAATCACACCTTGTAAGTTGGAGTTAACTCTTTATTAGCAAAACCACAATCAACACAGGAGGGTTGCGTCTAATGAGCCCAGCAATCATCACCAAGAGGTCTTGTCCCCATGAAGCAGTTGCTAAAGGTCCCTTCCATCTCACAGCTGTCTAAGTCCTCTCCTCTCCAGGGCCTTTTTCAAGCAATCAGAGATCAAGCCTGCATGCCGCCAACCTCTCCTCCGCCCTTTTCATGCCTCTTCTGGTTTTGGGAGACAAGTGGGGAGGGGATCTTTTTGCAGCAGGAGGGGGAGATACCCATGACTCTGTACCAGCCTGACTCATCCCTGCCTTTGGACCTCCTGCTCTCCTGCTTCAGCTTCTGCCTCTGATTCTGGACTTCACTCTGCCACAGACTCTACCTGCTCACCAAACCCTGTTACCTCTTTGGCTTCTAACACCTCCTCCTCCCAGTCTTCTCCCTCTTCTCCTGTTGACCACTTACCAACACCCCACTACAAATCCCTTGGTTCTGAGCCTTCTTCCCTTGGGGGTTCCTCAACTGGTGCCTCCCACAATTCCTCTGCATCCAACCAGTCCATTGCACCCAGTCACTCACTCACTTACCTGTCTCGCAAAACCCCTCCCCTCCTTCCTCAACCCCCTTGTCTATCACCCCAACCACCCCATTTTGAAAGAGGGTGAAGCACTTCTAAGAGCAGTTTGCTAAACAGCTGTGGGAAGGGCCTCCCCCTTGCATTAAACTTCGCTGCAGGTGTGCTTAATGGAAAGGGGAAGGTGCTTCACAGCGCTTCCCCCTCCCTTCATTAAACAATTTGCTTGGGCCATTTGGCTATTGCTCATGCTACAGTTGGCATGGCTGTCTATTGGGGGCCACACAAACTGCAGAGCATGATGACACCTTTTTATGCATATAGGAAGATAGGCTGAGCACTGCCTGGATCAGACTTCCCAACCCACTCCCTAAACTCAGGACTTTCAATCTTTGCTATTATGTCAGCCTTGAAGCCCCCTTTGTCATTGCAAGAGACAGATATCAGGGTGTGGTCATGGGGAAGCTAACTTCCCAGACTTTAATTGGTACTTCTCACAGGTCAATATGCTCCAAAAAACCCACCCTCGTTACAATAGTGGAAGAGAAGTTTTAATGCCAGGGTATCAAATGCCAGCATCTCACTTGACCTTCAGTACAATGCCCTGTACTTAACTCAGTAGAACAGGCTGAACTCAGTAAATTAAGGGAACAAATATTAACGTCTCTTGTAATAAAAGCATGAATTATGCATACATTGCCTCTGCTAGCTGTGAATTCTTAGCTTCTGTTTCATCCTCCCTGGACCGTAAGCCTCCCCTTCCTTTCACTAATATCCAGCCTAATGACTTTTCAATTCATTTTGGGTTTAATATGTGGCAGAACTCTGGCAATTAGTTCAGAGCAAGCAGGGCCCCTGCAACAAAATGTTGTGATGTATCCCTGGTGTGTAGGTGTTACCTGAGGTTGCAGCTGAGAGTGAATCACAAAAGATGGCATCAGAGATGGGAGTTGCTGCTCTAACCTGGGTCTTCCCTTCTTTGCAAAACCTTATTTTAGTATTCTTGATTTTTGAACATTTAAAAGTGCAGCCAGGCTGCAGGCAGGTCAGTGGAGCACCAGGCTTTTGCTTGTAACTGGGGACTCTTCCACGCTTCTGTTTGGTCCCTGTTTTGTTCCACTAGTTCTATACTTTCTATGAAGGGGTCCAATGGGCTTTTCATTTGACACCCCCCCCCACTTTTTCCAGGAAATCCCACTTTTTACAGTTGAATCAGAACAAATGTCAGTCCACAGTAAACTCAGTTGATGTTTGTTATGATTCCGAGGTAAACAGTGGACTCATGCCTAGAAAACATGGTACAAGCAGAAGTGTGGATGAGGCCCAAGTGCTGGATTTGGCTAGTGAGGAGTGATTTAAATGTTGCCAATACTGAGGCAGATGCACCAGTGGTATAAGTCAGCTCTCCTGTGCCCTGAGAAAGTGGGGGTCTACAAGTCCCTCCCTCGTACCCGCCATGCCATGCCCATAATATCTTTCTTTCATTCCACCCACACAAACTCCTCCAATATGCCATGATAGCTAGAAGGACCCTCCATGTTCAGTCAGAGTATACCTCTAAGTACAAGATTATGGAATCCATAGCGGCAGAAAGTCCCTGTGTTGAATGTTAGACCGATATGGTTTGCAACCACCCCTGCAGTTCACTGTTATAGTTGCAAGCTGGCAGGCTATGCTGAGAGAGAGAGAGAGTGCGCTTATAGGAACCCTGCAATATGGTCCACTGTGGGATGAGGTAGTTGGGATCCCTGGTCAAAAATTCCCCATATGTCTCAGGATTGCAGCAAATACCAGTCTACTAAACTTGCCACCCTCAGACCTCCTCCCAAATCAAATCAACCACTCGAGCCCCTACAGGCTGCCTTGCTTTGGAAGAAAACTGAATCCCGAAGGACTGTTTTGAATAAACAGCCCAAACACTCCCATACAGGGGTGCCAACTTGAATAAAATATGGGGGGGGGCAGGTAAGCCCTGCTAATCAATCACATGGTGTGGTCTACACATCCCATTTGAATGGCAATGCCTATTCACTTTGGGGTCCCTGGCCTCTCAAATATTGTACGGGGGGGGGGGCAGAGTGACCACGGCTACTAGGAGTTGGCACCTATGTTCCCATATGGGCAGTTTGAGAATCTTTAGTTTGGGGTTTGTGTGTGTGGTGGGGGGACACTTATCCACAAAAGGCAAAGGTGATAAACTATTTAGGAAATGAGAGGAGCTCTTGCAAGCAACAGGAATTGGCTGTTTTGTCACCCCATTGTTACATGGCAAGGCAATTGTTCTGAGGGCGTTGATCACACTGACTGCAACAAGACACAAAGACACGGCAGGTCAACAGGCACCAAAGTGACACTCCATGAACCAGAATGGCAGAAAAAATTAAACAAGCAAGGAGGTTTCTGGACTGTCCAATCTGAGCATACCTGTCCACTAGGCATTTTTTCCCCTACCATTTTTTTTTTCCTAAAGTGACTCACATTTTGTCAGGGAGGTGGTGGTAATGTGGACAGCTGAAAGTTAGCAGACAGGATAAAAAAGAAAGGGGTGGATTCTTATTGCCAGACTTAAAGATGTGTCCTGCCTGACCTGGCTAAGGGATTGGATGAAATTAGAAAATACAGATGTATTGGATTTAGAAGGTTGTGGCAACAGATTTGGGTGGCTTGCATATCTACAGTATGACAAAGTTAAAGTTCATAGAGGTTTTTTGAACTACACTATAAGAAAACCACTTTATGAGGTATGGACAAGATACAAAGATCTATTAGAGCGGAAAACACCATGTTGGATATCACCAGTAGAAGCAATATCAGTTAAAAGATTAAACATAAAAGGTAATTGGCCTACATATGGGGAGTTGCTAACAGAAATGGATAATGAGTTAAAAATGAAGCCATATGATGAAACGAGTGATAAGTTAACAGGTTGGTTGCAATATCATCAAATAAATGATATATTTAAAAAAGATAAAAGTAAGAATGGCTCTGAGACTTTAGATTGAAGCTAAAAACCAATCTGTTGGAAGGTAAAACAAAAATATTATCGAAAATGTGTGATTTAATTTTGGAATGGTATACGAAAGAGGAAGAGGTTAAGGAAGTAATGATAAAATAGGCAAAGGATATTGGGCACAATATTCAATTTGAAAACTGGTCAAAATTATGGAATGTCGGAATGAAATTCAGCGCATGTATGGCATTGAAAGAAAATATAATGAAAATGATGTATAGATAGTACTTGACACCAACTAAATTAGCAAAAATGAGAAATAAGAATTGTTGGAAATGTAATGTTAAAGAAGGAGATTTTTATCATATGCGGTGGACCTGTGATAAAAAAACGAAAGTTAGTAGACAGTGCATTGTCATTTTGATGGTGAAGAAACACAGTGTGGGGTTATTGTTTGTGAAGCAAATGAGAATTATTTCTGCAGCAGGAG